AAATAAAATAAAAGCACAAAGAAAAGGAATACACCTTGCCAAACTAGCTAAAGATGTGGAGGATGGGATTTGAAGTAACAACTAAAGTAATTATTGAAAATTCTGATTCCTGACTCCTTCTCAGTTCTTGAGAGCCTAAATCTCTGGACATGGGACACAGAAATTAGCATCTTTTCCCCTAAGCTCCCTCGTGGATTCCACATCTTAAGAAACACAGCCCTAAACATTCAAGAAGAATGTTTCCCAGTATCTTGTCCACTCCCCAATTAATTAATGAGACTACGTACATAGCATGGTGTATATAATGAGTTGTTCAGTAATACTTTTCCTGCTGACTCAGAATCAGTAAGTAGGATAAAAATCTAAGGATAAAGTCCTCCACAAGAAACTGGGGCTAGATCTTCCCGTCCCTTCTACCCTGTTCCTGCCCCTGTTCACATAAGCAAAAGGTGGGGGGAGAGAGGTGGATTGGAGAGACTAGAGTTGGCGGGATACAATGATCCCAGTTACAAGGACTTTCCCTTTCTTCCTCAGGAAGAAAGGGTGGATTGGCTCCTTCCAATTCCAAATTATTGAGGACTCTAAGAGAATCTCTCATAGAGACTGAAAGTACAGAGCAGCACCTCAGTTTTTAATTGAACACCTCTTACACGGCACACCNTCATCCTCACTGTCTCCTGGTAGTCGGATGCAGAAGAGGACGATGCAGACAAGGGACAGCAGAGCCAGCCAGTGGAAGGAGCATGGAGGAGAGTATCCTACTGACCACAAATACTTGTACTGTTGTATGGTTATTGTGTTGTCACTGAAAAACTGGGGCTTATTAGTTACAATAGCTAGCTTTACTCTTCCTGATACAATGCTGATCTTGAGAAAAGTATCGCCACTTCTATGGGCTGCAGCTATTTATTTATAAAAGTGGGTGGTTAGACAAGATAATCAACCAAGGTTCTTTAGTGATTTTAAAATGCAACCAATCTCTGCTTGGTTTTGATTGTATATGAGCAAACGTGAGCTCGTACTTACATCTTCCAACTTACTATAAATTCATAATTAACCATGCACACAGAGAATTCAAATGGAATTTCTGAATACTTTCATCCAAGAATGTTCAGAACTGCTAACACCACCAGCGAGGCATCTTGTGCCTTACCTGTGTGGTAGGACATTGTAAGTTTATCAACACAGAGGGGCTGGTACAGCTCAGCAGGTTAAAGTAAAACAAAATGGTCTTGTTCCTGTTGAGAGAAAAGAAACATAAAATAATCTTTTTAGTGACCTTAGAAATGTTCCATATCATGTCAGACCCTAACCACTTTTAATATCTGACCTTTAAAACTTGGCTTCATTTTCTCTAGACAGCTACAAAATATTCCCCAAATCCCCTTTAACCTGCCCAACATTTGAAGCATCTTTTTGTAATAGTAAAAAAAAAAACAAAATCAAACTGTTCATCAACAAATTGGTTAAATACAGAATTGTACATTCATAAAGTGGGAGATTACATTGCCATTGAAAATGATNGTCAGTAAAAAAGACAAAAAGGAAAAAAAAAAGTCTTTGAGGGAGATGAAGAAGCAAAGAAATAAAGCAGATTTACAAACTAGTTCTGGAGAGTATCTCTGGGTGTGGTTACTGACACATGGAACCAAGAAGAAGCAAGAAGTCAGAAACCTACTAAGTTTTTGAGGTAATTATAATGCGAAAAAAATCACGCTCTAACCTAAAAAAGCTTTTGCCTGTTAAAATAATCTTTGAGGTACTAAACTTGCACAGCAGGAGCTTTAACACTATATGGCCCTCCAGCGGGCATACTTTCCAAGGCTAAGCAATGGTGTCATCTGGAGGCTAATGGACAGAAAATGACCTCCCAGGGGGCTGAGCAAAAGACCATAGCATGCAATGGGTAAGGGAGTTCCTCTCAGAGAACACAACACAGGTCAAAATAAAAACTGTTCTCTATTGCCATGCACCAGAGACTGCTATGTATTTATCCTTCCTCCCTTTCTGAATGGGAGTTTGTATTCCAATATTCCTATC